AGTTACTAATACCTTTGCAAGAACATCTACCTGAATCGCACGTAGGAACGTTCTTAGCCAGTACTTAAGAGCCTTCTTAGCACACTTTCTTACGAAGAGATACATGGAGCTTCGTGAATCTAGGTCCAGGTAATTACTAGGTTCGTAACACTAACCAACAGGAAGTTGAAAGTTACTGTGAGGGGAGTGACCTCAGACTGGCAAGATGTCACCAGCAGAGTCCAACAGGTACTCGGACCTATCTTGTTTCTGATATACGTGAATTATCTTTCAGAGGGTTTAGACTCATTCCTCTCAATGTTTGCTGATAATGCTAAAATTTTGAGAACGACAAAGACGGAGGAAGGCAGCAGGAGGCTACAGGATGACCGGGACAGACTGAAGGAAGGGCCCAACAAATGGCTACTAGAGTTTACCTCAAGCAAGTGCAAAGTGACGAAGACAGGCGTAGGGAGCAGGAGACGAAACACAAGGTACTAGCTGCGAGAGGAAACCCTTCAGGAGTCAGGAAGAGAGAAAGATCTGGGGGTTGACATCACACCAGCTCTGTCCCCTGAAGCCCATATCAAAAGGATAACATCATCGGCGTATGCAAGGCTGGCGAATATTGGAACTGCCTTCAGAAACTTGTGTAAGGAATCATTCAGAACCTTGTATTCCACATATGTTAAGCCAATCGTGGAGTATGCAGCTCCAGCCTGGAGTCCACATCAATCAAACACGAAACGAAGTTAGAAAAGGTACAGAGGTATACCACCAGACAAGTCCCCGAGCTGAGAGGAATGAGCTACGAGGAAAGATTACTGGAACTAAACCCCTCGACACTGATGAACAGAAGAGTTAGGGGAGACATGATCACTACCTATACAATTTTCAGAGAAATTGACAGGGTAAATAAAGATAAACTGTTTAACACAGGTGGAACACGAACAAAGGGGACACAGGTGGAAACTATGTACCAAAATTAGCCACAGTGACATCAGAAAGACCTTTTTCAGAGTCAGAGTAGTTAACAGATGGAATGCATTAGGCAGTGATGTGGTGGAGGCTGACTCCATACACAGTTTCAAATGTAGATATAATAGAGCCCAGTAGGCTCAGGAATCTGTACACCAGTTAACTGACAGTTGAGAGGCGGGGCCAAAGAGCCAAAGCTCAACCCCCGCAAGCACAACTTCGTGAGTACAACTAGGTGAGTACACACACACACACACACACACACACACACACACACACACACACACACACACACACACACACACACACACACACACACACACACACACACACACACACACACACACACACACACGGGGACTGCAAGTACTAAAAAATGACATCAAACAATCTCATAACTGATGAATGGGCTGGTGGCAGAGGGTAAGGAGCTTGGAGCTGCATACAGGGATACATTTAGGCGACTTCCTTAAACAGGGAACCAAGACAGTTGTGGATTTTCTGTGAGCGGAGAAAATCTTTGTATATATACGAAATGTCTTTTTTCGTTGCGAATTGCGGAAATCTGAGTATTTCGCAGTGTCTGAACATTGACGTATGGTTGTAACATTTGGGTCTGTCAACCGGTGTATAAGAAAGAGTAGTGGGTGAGGAAGGTGATGATGAAGAGGAGAGGGATAAGGAAGAGAAGGAGCGGAAGGAGGAGAGAGAACAGAGTAGGATGGAGGAATACAGATGGAAAATGGGGACGGGGTGAGGAAGGAGAAAGGGGATAGAAAATGGAGGAGCGACTGAGGGAGGAAGGAGTCTAGTGGGAAAGAAAAGAAAACGGGAGACTGAAGTTGAGGAGGAAAGAGAAGATGGGAAAGGAGGGAGTAGGGAGATACATACGGAGATACTTATTGCTAAATGCTGCCAACATCCTTCTTATTTAACACATTAAACAACGCGACATGAAGACATTGCTTACTTCATTTACTGAGTAACCCAGGCGGCCCCCAGCTGGTGGTGATGGCCGGACACTACCACCTTGGGTAACCCAGCCGGCCCCCAGCTGGTGGCGAGGGCCGGACACTACCACCTTGGGTAACCCAGCCGGCCCCCAGCTGGAGGTGAGGGCCGGACACTACAACCTTGGGTAACCCAGCCGGCCCCCAGTTGGTGGTGAGGGCCGGACACTACCACCTTGGGTAACCCAGCCGGCCCCCAGCTGGAGGTGAGGGCCGGACACTACCACCTTGGGTAACCCAGCCGGCCCCCAGCTGGTGGTGAGGGCCGGACACTACCACCTTGGGTAACCCAGCCGGCCCCCAGCTGGTGGTGAGGGCCGGACACTGCCACCTTGGGTAACCCAGCCGGCCCCCAGCTGGTGGTGAGGGCCGGACACTGCCACCTTGGGTAACCCAGCCGGCCCCCAAGCTGGTGGTGAGGGGCGGACACCTTGGGTAACCCAGCCGGCCCCCAGCTGGTGGTGAGGGCCGGACACCTTGGGTAACCCAGCCGGCCCCCAGCTGGTGGTGAGGGCCGGACACTGCCACCTTGGGTAACCCAGCCGGCCCCCAGCTGGTGGTGAGGGCCGGACACTGCCACCTTGGGTAACCCAGCCGGCCCCCAGCTGGTGGCGAGGGCCGGACACTGCCACCTTGGGTAACCCAGCCGGCCCCCAGCTGGTGGCGGGGGCCGGACACTGCCACCTTGGGTAACCCAGCCGGCCCCCAGCTGGTGGTGAGGGCCGGACACTGCCAACTTGGGTAACCCAGCCGGCCCCCAGCTGGTGGTGAGGGGCGGACACTGCCACCTTGGGTAACCCAGCCGGCCCCCAGCTGGTGGTGAGGGCCGGACACTGCCAACTTGGTAACCCAGCCGGCCCCCAGCTGGTGGTGAGGGCCGGACACTGCCAACTTGGGTAACCCAGCCGGCCCCCAGCTGGTGGTGAGGGGCGGACACTGCCACCTTGGGTAACCCAGCCGGCCCCAAGCTGGTGGTGAGGGCCGGACACCTTGGGTAACCCAGCCGGCCCCCAGCTGGTGGTGAGGGGCGGACACTGCCACCTTGGGTAACCCAGCCGGCCCCCAGCTGGTGGTGAGGGCCGGACACTGCCACCTTGGGTAACCCAGCCGGCCCCCAGCTGGTGGTGAGGGCCGGACACTGCCACCTTGGGTAACCCAGCCGGCCCCCAGCTGGTGGTGAGGGGCGGACACTGCCACCTTGGGTAACCCAGCCGGCCCCCAGCTGGTGGTGAGGGCCGGACACTGCCACCTTGGGTAACCCAGCCGGCCCCCAGCTAGTGGTGAGGGCCGGACACTGCCACCTTAGGTAACCCAGCCGGCCCCCAGCTGGTGGTGAGGGCCGGACACTACCACCTTGGGTAACCCAGCCGGCCCCCAGCTGGTGGTGAGGGGCGGACACTGCCACCTTGGGTAACCCAGCCGGCCCCCAGCTAGTGGTGAGGGCCGGACACTGCCACCTTGGGTAACCCAGCCGGCCCCCAGCTGGTGGTGAGGGCCGGACACTGCCACCTTGGGTAACCCAGCCGGCCCCCAGCTAGTGGTGAGGGCCGGACACTGCCACCTTGGGTAACCCAGCCGGCCCCCAGCTGGTGGTGAGGGCCGGACACTACCACCTTGGGGTAACAGGGTAACAGTGAGGGCAGTGCCACTCGCCGCCTCACAGCCCAGCTTTACTATCACTATTCTAGTCTTATCTTAGGGATCAGTTTATATTACTTTATTTTTATTTGTCTATTTATGGGACATCAATAAATAATAATAGTTTAATAAAAATATTTCATGTAATTTTCAACATAAATTATAATAATCCAAAAACACTTCCGAGTGAACCACTTTAAGAACTAGTTCTGCACTTAAGAACACTTTGCCTTCTTATTATATTACACTGAATTAATCAAAAGGGAAAATTCACCCACTCTTCACATCCTCACCTATATAAAGCTTACTGGCTCAGACTATACTATATTCCTGGTGAGTCTACCTATAGACTCACTGGTCACGACATGCACCACTGTTCAACTCTCACCTCCTAATTCAGAGGGACCCCGCCTAAAGTGGGTGAGTTACGGCACCCGGCCGGAGGTGGTGGGTGTCTCCACAGGAGAGTGACTCCTCACGCCCAGCAAGACCCCTGGGGCTTCCTCGACGCCTTCACCATATAAAGACTGGAAGTACCCTCGCTTCATTCAATATGGTAAATTGTACCTCACAGTAGCACGTTGGGGTCCCCGTACAGGCTCTTGTTGGCTTCCCTCATGGAGAGACGAGTCAGCCAACGACTCCCCGCGCTTCCTCACACTTCTACTACCTACAAAACACACACACACACACACGTACACACACTTTCACTCACACACACACACACACACACACACACACACACACACACGTACACACACTTTCACACTTTCACACACACACACGTACACACACTTTCACTCACACACACACACACACACACACACTTTCACACACACACACACACACACACACACATATACACACACTTTCACTCACACACACACACACACGAGTGCGAAGAAACAAAGTGGAGCTAGTGGCATCACCGGAGCATATAAGTGTGGAGGACCGCGTGGAACGACCTGACCTGACAGCCAGGTGGGAGACCCGCCGGGGAACTGCCTGATTGTGTTTGTTGAGTGGTGACTGTGATCAGTGGTAACGTAAATTAGTGAACTGTCACACACGATACAGTGACTGACTCCAGAGCTTTGTG